CATCCTATAGTCAAAGTTATAGATCATTTTATAGTTAAGACTATAGCGCACTATATAGTCAACAATATAGATCATTCCGTATCCAAAAATAAAGATTGTTTTATAGATCATTCTATAGTTATTCTACAATTAAGAGTAGCGATCATTCTATGGCAAAGTATATTAATCAGACATCTAATAGTCGAGTGTATTGATCATTCCATAATCAAGAATATAGATCTTTCTTTCTAGACATTTTACTATTTCACAGTAAAGAGTAGATCATTCTATAGTAAGGAATATAGATCCTTCTATAGTCAAGACTACAGATAATCCTATAGTCAAAAGTATAGATCATTTTATAGTTTATACTATAGATCATTCCCTAGTCAAGAGCATAGACCTTTCTGTATTTAAAACTATGGATCATTCTACAGTAAAGAGAATAATCATTCTACAATCAAGAGTGTAGATCATTCTGCATTCAAGCCTATTGATCATTCCATAGTAAAGAGTATTGATCATTCTTCATCCTTGATTCATCTACACTTAAATAATAAAGAGTATAGATCATTCTATAGTCAATAGTATAGATCATTTTAGAGTAAAATTTTTTGATCACTCAATAGTAAAACCTTGGATCATTCTACAGTAAAGAGAATAAATCATTCTTTAATCACTGTTGCCAACTTTTTTCCCAAAAATATCGCTAAAGTCGACTGAAAAATAGCTAGAAAATAGCTAAATTCAAGACATTTTGAAAAATTTAGCGATAAATCGTCAAAATAATATTTATTATATGATTCTGAAAAGAAATAGCTAAAAATACTAGCTAAATTTTTCAGATTTTTTATATTATTCTAAAAAGTCAGCGATTTATCGCTCAAAACTATATACATACGTAGGAATGGGATAGTGATACAAACACATCTTATAACAAACACATAAGAGAATCTTTTTTTATGTTAAATATTTTCACTTTGGGTTAGGAAAAATGTCAAGTTGAGGCTAATTTCGATATGCGACCCTATACAGATTGCTTTAGAAATATTGTAAAGATAAATTGAATTTCGAAATGCTGGCCTTTATGGATCGATCCTTTATTTTCGGCATAAGAGTATTATTTATTTTTCCATTACAATACAATTACAAATTATATTCTAACCTAATTTACCGAGCAGGGTGACGATAACCATACGACCGTTGTAGTGTAGCAGACCAGGATCTCTGCTGGGAATCGAACCCACAACCCCCAGACTGACAGGCTAGCACACTACCAACTAGCCTACCGGGGCACCCAATATTATTATTATACACTCCTTTTGTGGGAAGTTTATCTGCAATATCGATATGCGGACCTATACGCCTTAGAAATGTTGTAAATTTTTAAGACTTTATGGCGATATTATGACTTTTAAGCGATATTATCACAATATAAATGAACAAAAAATGCCTTAATATCTAAAGAAAAATCGCTAGATTTCCCGCTAATAGCTAAATCATATTTCCCCCCGCAAAATGGGATTAAAAATCGCTAGATTTGACGAGAAAATAGCTAAATTGGCAACAGTGTCTATAATCAAGACTGCAGTAAATATTTAAATATTATAGATCATTCCATAGTAAAGAGTATTGATCATTCTTCATCATTGATTCATCTACACTTAAATAGTAAAGAGTAAAGATCATTATATATTTAAGAGTATATATAATTTTATAGGAAAAATTATTGATCACTCAATAGTCAAAAAGATTGTTCATTCTATAGTTAATGCTATTGATCACGCAATAGTCAAGAGAATTGACTAGGTCACTCAATAGTTAAGAGTATAGATTATCGTTTAGTCATGATCATTGATCACTCTTTAGTAAAAATATAGATAATTTTATTGTCAAGACTTTTGATCATTCTATAGGGAAGAGTATATAGTATATATCATTTTATAGTAAAAATTATTGATCACTCAATAGTCAAAAAGATTGTTCATTCTATAGTAAATACTATTGATCACTCAATAGTCAAGAGGATTGACTAGATCACTCAATAGTTAAGAGTATATATATAGTCAAAAAGATTAGTTATTCTATAGTAAATACTATAGATCACACAATAGTCAAGAGCATTGACTAGATCACTCAATAGTTAAGAGTTTATTGATCATTTTGTAGTAAAACTATAGATCGTTTCATTGTCAAGACTTTTTTGATCATTATATAGTAAAGATCATCCTATAGTTAAAATTAGAGATCATTCTATAGTGGAAACTATAAAATTCTATATAGTCTAAAAAATGTTATTCCAAACTCTATATCTTGCATGTCCCCAAATAAAGCAGACAAAATTTTGTGCCACATATAAAGCAAAGTTTCACCTGTTACTCGCTTCTCAAATTAAATTGTTATCTAAATTACAAGTGTAACTAATTTTAAAGGAGTGACTGTATAAATTGCATAGTTTTTTCTTACTCTATAATATCTGTTGTCTTTTTGCATTTTGCGTGGGTTGCATTAAACAAAAAACCAATGCAAGTAAAATAAATTTGCAATATTTAGTTGTTTTTTTTTTTTTTTCATATGAACATTTATTTACTTGACTTGATAAATCAGGTGTAAAAAATAGTATATCGTAGCGAAAAAGTTATATGGAGAGAAAAAAGAAAAGATCAAAACTACTCGTAAGTTTAATAATGTTCATTTACATTATGTATGTTTATGAGAGTGTTTGTTGTATATTATAGATTATGTAAATATTTATAAATTTATAAAGTACATGATTTGTTTTAAATACTATTTTTACAATGAGATTATAAATGATTTTTTTTTTTTGTTGTGTTTTTAACTTAAAGTCACGTTTAAGCATTTCATTCAAAGTTTTTGTAAAATAAAAAACAAAACAAAGATTGTTATAAAGAAAATCATGTTTTTTTAATTGGTTTTTTGAAACAAAAGTTTAATAATAGTATAGAATATTCGAGGTGATAATAATAGTTAAAAAAAATGTTCCCTTTGCAACCATATTTAAATTTTATAACATAATTTGCATTTGGCCTAAATTGCTTCTCAATTGCAATTTGTTTTTTGTTCAAAACTACTGAGACATATTGCGTATTTATCATTATGTCTATCAATAATTCATTTCATTCTAAAACGTCTTTATTGTTTTTACTCATTGAGTCAATTATTTTATTGAAAAATATTGTTTTATATTATATTCTTTGCACCCGTACTACGTCACTTTACAGCAGACATGGACAACTGGAAAATTGAAACTATATCAACTCATTTAATAAGTCCTAAAAGAACTAATGAAAAACTCTGTAAGTTTTCCATCCCTGCTTTAGTTATTATATATACATCTAGATTGCTCATAGTGCTAGAAAATTATTAAAAACAATAATTGTAATAAATTTTGCTAAAACACAAAAAAAGATCAAAGGGTCAAAGTGGTTTCTTTTTCATTTTCATTACAAATTTTTAAATTAAATAATCGTATTTTGAAAAACCATATTACGTTATATTTAAAAGATAAAATGGTTTGGGGGAGGGGTTTGAGGTTGAGAGAGAAATAGTGTGCAAATAAATTAATGGCAATTTTATTGAAAATTACAAAATTTCAATTATAATATTGTATAATACTAAAATTCAAAGAGAAAGAAAATCTTAACCCAGCAAACATATTAATGTGAGACAATTGCAAGGCTAAAAGTCAGGACAATTAAGACTATACATATATCATTCTATAGTCAAGACTATTGATCATTCTATAGTCAATGCTATAGATCATTTTATAGTCAATACTATAGATCATTCTATAGTCAAGACTATAGATCATTCTGTAGTCAAGACTGTAGACAAGACTATAGATCATTTTATAGTTAGTACTATAGAACATTCTATAGTCAAGACTATTGATCATTCTATAGATAAGACTATAGATCATTCTATAGTCAATACTATAGATCATTCTATATTCAAGACTATTGATCATTCTATAGACAAGACTATAGATCATTTTATAGTCAGTACTATAGATCATTCTATAGTCAAGACTATTGATCATTCTATAGACAAGTCTATAGATCATTCTATACTCAATACTATAGGTCATTATATAGTCAATACTATAGATCATTCTATAGTCAAGACTATTGATCATTCTATAGACAAGACTATAGATCATTCTAAAGTCAATACTATAGATCATTCTATAGTCAAGACTATTGATCATTCTATAGACAAGACTATATATCATTCTATAGTCAATATTATAGATCATTCTATAGTCAAGACTATTGGTCATTCTAGAGGCAGGACTATAGATCATTCTACAATCAATACTACAGATCATTCTATAGTCAAGACTATTGGTCCTTCTATAGACAAGACTATAGCACATTCTATAGTCAATACTATAGATCATTCATAGTCAAGACTACAGATCATTCTCAATCTAGAGTCAAGAATATCTACTATGCAATAGTAAAGCTATTGATCATTCTATAGGCAAGACTATAAAGCATTCTGTAGTCAGTACTGTAGAACATTCATAGTCAATGAATTCTTTAGCCAATACTACAGATCATTCTATAGTCAAGAATGAATAATTAAGATTATCGACTACTCAATAGAAAAGACTTTATTATTCTATAGTCAGGACTAGTTTAAACTATAGATCATTCTATGATTAAGAATATATATCATCCTATAATCATGACGATAGATCATTCTACAGTCTAGACTATAGATAATTATATTGTCAAGATAATGTATCATTTTATACTTAAGACTGCTGATCATTCCAAATTTTCAAGACTGTTGACCATTCCTTATATGATAAAGACTACTGATTATTATATATTTAAAACTATATATCATTCTGCAGTCAAGGGTCATTTTATAGTTAAAAATGTACATCATTCATTACTTTAATCTACAGATAAAAACCAAATTTCCATTTGGTCTTAATTACTTATGGTGATTCTCTTAAAGTTTAATAAAAAATTGTTTAAATATGTACTTACACCAACTTGATATAATATGCGTACATCCTTGCCATTATGATGGGCGATATTAGACGTGGAACCACCACTATTACTGCTACCACTATCATGCAATGTTGTTGTGGGCAATTGCAGTGTATGCAAGTTATTGTAATTTCCTGTTAAATCATGATGAGTTTTAAGTAGATCTAACATTTGCCTAGATCTCCTACGATCCAATAGATTGGTGGATAGTTGAGTTTGTGTATGTTCTTTAGAAGATAAAATCTTTAAGTCAACTTGTTCAGGTGGATGATGAGGATCATTAATTGATGAGCTGGCATGATGTTCTTTAAAATAGTTAGAATTATCGGATGATGATGAGGATGGCGATGTTGCTACTGCAGCGGTATTAATGGTAGAATATTCAAGATTTTTATGTTTTAAATCTTGTGTTGTGACACCTGCTGGGTTGTTGTTGTTGCTGTTACTGGGTGTTAATTCATAGACTTCCAATGGCAGGCGCGTGCTATAGCAGGCATTTATGAGATGTGTTGCAACAATAAACACAGTTGATATTAACATTTTTCTTGTTGTTGTTGTTTATTGTAGTTGTTGTTATATTGGTTATTTGATTTGATCTATTGTTTTTTCTTGCTGTTTATTGTTGTTGTTGTTAAGAAACAAATCCACTATTACAGCAATTTCTAGTGAAGTGTATAATTGACACTTTTAGTAAAATGTGTTTGTTTTATTTAACTTTTTTTTGTTCGTTGTTGCTGCAGTTGTTGTTTTTTTTTTTTTTTTTTGTTATTTATAGTTGTACACCTTGAGCTTTTTGTTTGTTGTTTCTTTTGTAGTGGTATTTGTTAAAATTTTTTGTTGCTGTTGTTTTCTATTTATTTATAATGTTAATTGTTCTAATGTTTATTTTACTTTTTTTGTTTAAGAGTTTTGTTTTTCATTTAAACTTACAGCCATAAAAATTTACTACTACAAAACGTTATTTATTTTTACGTTTTTTTTTTTTATAAATTTTATTTAATTTTCTTAGATAAACTTTAAATCGTGTCGAGATTTTCGTACGTTTTGCTGTACATTCACAAAATGTTGAGTTTTTTTTTTTAATTTTTTGGAACTTTATAGATTTCTGTTGCAAGTTTGATTTGGAATTGTTGTTTCAATTTAGACCAGTTTGAAAAATTATTTACGTTATTATTTTGTTAAATTTCTTAGTTTTCACTATCTATGAACTTTTTTTAATAAAATGTTTGTTGTAATTTTCAATATATTATGTTTTATATATTAGTTTTTCTCTTTTAGGAAATCCTGTAAATAGAAAATTTATTTAATTTCTTTAGTTAGATTTATTTATAATTTTAAAAATTTTATCAAAAATTCGTTTTTTTTAATATTCTATAATTTGTAAATATTGTTATTTTTAACTATAATTTGAAGAAATATTAGTGTTTTTCGTTTAAATTTTTGCAAAAATTAAAATATTACTTTCAATTTTGTATTCAAGATAAGATTTCAAATGTTTCTTTTATATTAATTAATAAATATGTTTTTTGCATTTGAGAGACTCCTAAACATCCAGAAAAATTCACCGTTTATTAACAGATTCACATGATCGTGGTGGCATCATTCTATCAGAAATGAATCTGGATCACACCTTACAATCAATATTGAACGTTACCGCAGCATGATCAATGATATTTTATTCGAAAATGTGCATGTTATTGCTCCGGTTGGGATCTGAAGCTATATGCCATACGGCGATCGCCAGTTTCGATTTATTGAAATCAAAATTTTTTGATAACTTGACTTCGAGAAATGAACCTTTCAATTGACCTACTAGACCGTGTGATTTGACTCGTGTGAAGTCACAACTTTGAGCTGAGTAAGCAGCAAAAATTTATGACTTAGAGCCCCATATTGTTCCTGCTCAGAAAGTGCCTAAAATTAATAATTTTGAAACGCCTAAATCAAACCGCAATAATACTAATCTTTCGAAAATATATTGACCATTTTGATTCAAATTTATCTTTTTATACCCTACATCACTTTAGTGGGAAGGTTAAATTGGGTTTGCAGAATAGTATTGGTCCTATACACACCTGTACCAATCGGCTTAGAATCATTTTCTGAGTCGATTTATCTATGTCCGTCCGTCTGACCGTCCTTCCATGTAAACCTTGTAATCAAACTACAGGTCGCAATTTTGGAGATAATTCAATTAAATTTGGCACATGATCTTCTATTCTCCCAGGGACGAAGCCTATTGAAAAAGGTTAAGATCAGTCTATTATTTCACCTAGCCCACATACGACTGAACCCCGGAATAGAACTTGTAAACCTTGTAATCAAACTACAGGTCGTAATTTTGAAGATAATTCAATGAAATTTGGCACATGATCATCTGTTCTACAAAAGACGAAGCCTATTGAAAATGGTTAACATCGGTCTATTATTTCACCTAGTCCCCATACGCCCTTTTTGACGGGTTCGAAAAGGGCTTTTAAGTTCCTAATTATGTCGACAAAAATCTGCAAAACCGAGTTCTATACTAGACTTGATGACCCCTATAGCCCAGAATTTTATTCAACAATAAATAGCTTAAGTATATCTGAGGCAAGGTGCAATTCCACTTAAATGCTTTATTATGAAAACTAAATCACATTTTATTTTTATATATGGTCCGCCTCGCCCGATTATAATTTCTTACTTGTTTCTATCGGACTTAGAAAGTATATGATTCGATTTAAACTACGAATCTACAGATTCAGACTATTCAATAGTGAAGACTACTTTTAGCTCTAAATTATGGACTATAGAATAGTTAAATAAATACCATTCTGAAGTCTTGAATGTAGACCATATATTCTATATACAAGAGTGCAGATAGTCTTGACTAGAGACTATTCTAAATTATAGTCTATACGTCCAAAAGGATAAGGTTGTGTAGATATTTGCGTATTTTGAGGAGAAAATACTAGAAAATCTCAATTATTTTGAATCCAAAGCAGTCGTCGGCACTTACTTCTTTCCTAGACTTAAGAGATCTATCTGTCGATAGATGTTCTAAAGTAGGCATTAGCAAAGACAAGAAATCCCTTTACCTACACAGTGGGAAAAAAGAGCGTTTTAAAATTGTACACGCCTGGTATCAAATTGAGACACCAAAAAGTTTATAATTTTTCAATAACATCCGTTGTCAAAGTATGTACGGATAGTTGTCAAACCATGAAAAAATATATAAAAATACACAACGTTATCAAATGTGTTACCAAAATGACAACGCTATGTTGTCCAACCGAACGTTAGGTTGTCGAAATCACAACAATGCATTGCCGAAATTACACAAAGCAAAAGCGAAATGACAACAATGCGTTGTTGCAATGACAACGATGTGTTGCCAAAATTACAACGATGGTTGTCTAAATGATAACTGGTTGTTATTTAAATTTTATACACATCCGTTGTCAAAATGTTAACCAACGTGGTAAGCTCACTTTTAACAACGGATTGGCATAAATTTTGGTAATTTTCTATCGGGTTTTTTCCCTCTTATCAAGACTGTTTTCCCAATTGTCGAAACCTTGTGTCAGCATGTTATATCCAGGATAGACTTGACTTCTCAAAATTAACTAACCAATGAACATTTCAAATTTTTACTTAAAGCATTTGAACTGAAACCCGCATTTCAAACCTTTAGACAAATATTTATATTCTTTGATCTCTTGGTACAAAATTTTAGGACCTGTGTAATCAAGGGTTCTTATTACACCCTTCGCATCAATATATTGGCCCTACAGCCACCTAAAAGCATACCGATCATCTTAGAATCTTCTATGTCCGTCCGTCTGTCCATGTCGGATTCGATTTTTGGTTATTTAATATCTCAGAAAGTTTATTACGACTAATTGTTCGTAATAAACATTATTAAAAATTTATTTAAAAACATAAATTTTCCATTTAAACGCTTAACGTTATTTACCCCAAAAAATTCGTTAATAAAATAAATCATAAATATTTTCACTTAAAATCAGGTTTCTTAAGGTGATTTTTTTTTTGTATTTTCTTATTTAATTCAAAAAGCACACTTTTGGTATAATTTCGTTTTAATAAAACATTTGTTTTTGTGTTATTTTTGATTCATTAAAAAAACACTATTAAATACAACAACTTGTTTTTCAAATTGTTGTAGTTGCTGGTTTTGCTACAGTTGAAATGCTTGAATGTTGTTATTGCTGTTATTATTGTTATTGTTAGCTCACTTTATATGTAGAAGTTTTTTTTTTTGTTTAAATAACAAATTCATTCATAAAAACGTGAATAAAAAAAAAACACAAAAATTTCATTCATTAAAAACAACATCGAAAAACAACAAATACTGATATTTATTGTTTTTTTAGTATTTTATATTATTTTTTTGCAGTTGTTGTTTGTTTGTCTCTACTAAATACAGCCAGATCGATCGATCGTTCGTTCGCTGGATCGAGTGGCAGAGAGTAAATTTACACACAGCAACAAGCAGCAGAGACGGGGCAACATATAAACAAGTTGTAAATAAATTTATTAACTTTGGATTTTTTTTTTCTTTTTTTTTCGATTAATTTTATATACAATTTATTTTCTTTTATTATTTTGTTTTTTTGCGGCCAGGAATGTGTAATTTTTTTTATTAAATATCTAGTAAATATTTACATTACGTTTTTCTTAATTTTTTTAAAAAATTTTTTAATGCAAATTTTTTTTCCATAAAACAACAGACACTCTAAACGTTAAGTTATAAAGTTGGAAAAACACGTCTAGATGCGTTTAATAGAACACGTTTTCGGTTTTGACGTTGTTGCCGTTCGATCGTTGTTGTTTTTATTTTTTTTTTTTTTTTAATTTTATGTTATTACCACGTTTTGGTATTTTTACTACCAACTCATATGACGTTACTTTTAAAACTGATCGCATCAACAAAAATGTATTGAGATTTTTACAGAATATTTTCAATTTTGTTTTAAACACACACACATACTCACAGTTATAAAACTCATAGATACTCAACAGCAATAACAACAACAACAACATTTTACTCTTTAGTATCTGTGTTTGTTAAAATATTCCCTGAATGATTGAAAGAAAAATAAAAAAACTTGAATGAAAACCAATACTTTTTTAAAAACTCTAATTGCTTTAGTATTGGTATTTATCTTAATTGTTCTCTTTATTTAGCTCTTCTAAATATTCTTACTCTCTTAACTTATCAAATATTCTCTTTTATTTGTTACAAGCGTATTTGTATTAGTAGTTAGTTCACATAGATACAATGAGTTTTAGGTTTGAAGTTGCATTTCTGGAAGGTATTTTTCATTTAGTATCTGTGTTTTGCTGAGTATTTTTGTGAATGTGTTTGTGTATCAGCGTCGTTGTGTTTCGGATTTGCTGCTACTTATGAATGAAGTATTTTTGAAGTTCACAGCATCATTTTTGTTTGCTGTTGTTGCTATTGCTGCTGTTAGTTGCAGTTGTTACGAATTGTGCAAGTGTTTTTTCCTACGTTGACTCTCTTTAAATTTCATATTGTTGTTGTTGTTGCTATTGTGTACTGGCTGTGGTATGAGATCTTTAAGGTGTTTGTTTTAATTAAGCAGTGTTGCCATTTTAGTTGAAAAGGATTTCAATTGGAGTATAGTTAAAGTGTCCATTGGAGTTTGGGATTTCGGGTTTGAGTTTCAGTTCAGTTGCAGTTTGGTTCTACTTCAGTTCTAGTACAAGTTCAGTTCAAGTTCAGTTCATGTTCAGTTCTAGTTCAGTTCTAGTTCAGTTCTAGTTCAGTTCTAGTTCAGTTCTAGTTCAGTTCTAGTTCAGTTCTAGTTCAGTTCTAGTTCAGTTCTAGTTCAGTTCTAGTTCAGTTCTAGTTCAGTTCTAGTTCAGTTCTAGTTCAGTTCTAGTTCAGTTCTAGTTCAGTTCTAGTTCAGTTCTAGTTCAGTTCTAGTTCAGTTCTAGTTCAGTTCTAGTTCAGTTCTAGTTCAGTTCTAGTTCAGTTCTAGTTCAGTTCTAGTTCAGTTCTAGTTCAGTTCTAGTTCAGCTCTAGTTCAGTTCTAGTTCAGTTCTAGTTCAGTTCTAGTTCAGTTCTAGTTCAGTTCTAGATCAGTTCTAGTTCAGTTCTAGTTCAGTTCTAGTTCAATTCTAGTTCAGTTCTAGTTCAGTTCTAGTTCAGTTCTAGTTCAGTTCTAGTTCAGTTCTAGTTCAGTTCTAGTTCAGTTCTAGTTCAGTTCTAGTTCAGTTCTAGTTCAGTTTTAGTTCAGTTCAGTTCTAGTTCAGTTCTAGTTCAGTTCTAGTTCAGTTCTAGTTCAGTTCTAGTTCAGTTCTAGTTCAGTTCTAGTTCAGTTCTAGTTCAGTTCTAGTTCAGTTCTAGTTCAGTTTTAGTTCAGTTCTAGTTCAGTTTTAGTTCAGTTTTAGTTCAGTTCTAGTTCAGTTCTAGTTCAGTTCTAGTTCAGTTCTAGTTCAGTTCTAGTTCAGTTCTAGTTCAGTTTTAGTTCAGTTTTAGTTCAGTTCTAGTTCAGTTCTAGTTCAGTTCTAGTTCAGTTCTAGTTCAGTTCTAGTTCAGTTCTAGTTCAGTTCTAGTTCTGTTCTAGTTCTGTTCTAGTTCTGTTCTAGTTATGTTCTAGTTCTTTTCTAGTTCTGTTCTAGTTCTGTCCTAGTTCTGTCCTAGTTCTGTCTTAGTTCTGTTCTAGTTCTGTTCTAGTTCTGTTCTAGTTCTTTTCTAGTTCTGTTCTAGTTCTGTTCTAGTTCTGTTCTGTTCAAGTTCTGTTCTAGTTCTGTTCTAGTTCTGTTCGAGTTCTGTTCTAGTTCTATTCTAGTTCTGTTCTAATTCTGTTTTAGTTCTGTTCTAGTTCTCTCCTAGTTCTGTGTTAGTTCTGTTCTAGTTCTGTATTCGAATTACGTACGAGATTTTTATCGTTTACAGACTCTTCTTTATCAAGAAAGAATTCTTCACCCCATAAAATTCACACTGGGACAGAATTAATTATGATTTTAATCAAAATATTAAAGTTTAACTATGGTACACCCTACACTGCAATGACCTTCTTAAGTACGATCATCATACACTGACTACCTTGAGATACCAACACAATTCAAAGAAAAATTCCAATTAATTCATATTTTAATGTTTTTTTGTTTCTTGTATTTTTTCCACAAACAAATAAAACATGCAAATGCAAACAAACAAACAAATTCTCTATTTAAATATTCAAAATGAGTACGTCAACATAAATAAAAAGAAATGTATGAAAGAACAACAAAAATAAGAGAAATAATAAAAGGAGAACCAGAAACAGCAACAAGATGACGATGACGACGACGACGTTGGTCACAAAACGTTTTATTTTAAAATAATAAAAAATAAGAATAAATTTTGGCGTGTGCTTAAAGCGCGTGCGCACAAACTTACACATATTCATACTCAAATACGAAGGAAAATTTGTGTGTGTATGCATGTTTGTTGTTCCATTGAAGACTTCAACAACATCATCATCGTCATCGTCGTCAACAACATCATCTCCATACAGGCAACAACTACTATACATCAGCAACAACAGCAGTACTTTTTTTATACAGAAAAAGATAAAACATAAAAAAATTATATATTGAAATAAATTAAAGAATGAGAAAAAAGCGCGCGCTCGCGCCTTATAAGTACGCTTCTTTTTTTAAAATATTCTACAAATCTACATATGGGATATCAGTGAAATTAAATTTTATAAACTGATTGTACCATCAGTTGGGTACTTTCGTCTGTTTTCTGTACTTTCTCAACATAAATAGTACTAAATCTATTATTAGGAATCAATGGTCTAGTCTAGAGTATAGTCAATAGTACAGTAATAGTCAAGTTTATTGTCTAGTCAATAGTCTAGTCTATAGTCGAGTCAGTAGTCTAGTCAATAGTCTAGTTTATAGTCTAGTCTATACTTTAGTCTATACTTTAATCTATGGTCTAGTCAATAGTCTAGTCTATAGTCTATATATTAGTATAGTCTACAGTCTAGTCAATAGTCTAGTCAATAGTCTAGTCTACAGTCTAGTCTATAGTCTAGTCTACAGTCTAGTCTATAGTCTAGTCTATAGTCTAGTCTATAGTCTAGTCTATAGTCTAGTCTATAGTCTAGTCTATAGTCTAGTCTATAGTCTAGTCTATAGTCTAGTCTATAGTCTAGTCTATAGTCTAGTCTATAGTCTAGTCTATAGTCTAGTCTATAGTCTAGTCTATAGTCTAGTCTATAGTCTAGTCTATAGTCTAGTCTATAGTCTAGTCTATAGTCTAGTCTATAGTCTAGTCTATAGTCTAGTCTATAGTCTAGTCTATAGTCTAGTCTATAGTCTAGTCTATAGTCTAGTCTATAGTCTAGTCTATAGTCTAGTCTATAGTCTAGTCTATAGTCTAGTATAGTCTATAGTCTAGTCAATAGTCTAGTCTATAGTCTAGTCTATAGTCTAGTCTATAGTCTAGTCTATAGTCTAGTCTATAGTCTAATCTATAGTCTAGTCTATAGTCTAGTCTATAGTCTAGTCTATAGTCTAGTCTATAGTCTAGTCTATAGTCTAGTCTATAGTCTAGTCTATAGTCTAGTCTATAGTCTAGTCTATAGTCTAGTCTATAGTCTAGTCTATAGTCTAGTCTATAGTCTAGTAGTCTAGTCTATAGTCCAGTCTATAGTCTAGTCTATAGTCTAGTCTATAGTCTAGTCTATAGTCTAGTCTAGTCTAGTCTATAGTCTAGTCTAGTCTATAGTCTAGTCTATAGTCTAGTCTAGTCTATAGTCTAGTCTATAGTCTAGTCTATAGTCTCGTCTATAGTCTAGTCTATAGTCTAGTCTATAGTCTAGTCTATAGTCTAGACTATAGTCTAGTCTATAGTCTAGTCTATAGTCTAGTCTATAGTCTAGTCTATAGTCTAGTCTATAGTCTAGTCTATAGTCTAGTCTATAGTCTAGTCTATAGTCTAGTCTATAGTCTAGTCTATAGTCTAGTCTATAGTCTAGTCTAAAGTCTAGTCTATAGTCTAGTCTATAGTCTAGTCTATAGTCTAGTCTATAGTCTAGTCTATAGTCTAGTCTATAGTCTAGTCTATAGTTCTAGTCTATAGTCTAGTCTATAGTCTAGTCTATAGTCTAGTCTATAGTCTAGTCTATAGTCTAGTCTATAGTTCTAGTCTATAGTCTAGTCTATAGTCTAGTCTATAGTCTAGTCTATAGTCTAGTCTATAGTCTAGTCTATAGTCTAGTCTATAGTCTAGTCTATAGTCTAGTCTATAGTCTAATCTATAGTCTAATCTATAGTCTAGTCTATAGTCTAGTCTATAGTCTAGTCTATAGTCTAGTCTATAGTCTAGTCTATAGTCTAGTCTATAGTCTAGTCTATAGTCTAGTCTATAGTCTAGTCTATAGTCTAGTCTATAGTCTAGTCTATAGTCTAGTCTATAGTCTAGTCTATAGTCTAGTCTATAGTATAGTCTATATTTTAATCTATGGTCTAGTCAATAGTCTAGTCTATAGTCGAGTCAATAGTCTAGTCAATAGTCTAGTCTATAGTCTAGTCTATACTTTAGTCTATACTTTAATCTATGGTCTGGTCAATAGTCTAGTCAATAATCTAGTCAATAGTCTAGTCTATAGTCTAGTCTATAGTCTATATTCTAGTATAGTCTACAGTCTAGTCAATAGTCTAGTCTATAGTCTAGTCTATAGTCTAGCCTATAGTCTAATCTATAATCTAGTCTATAGTCTAGTCTATAGTCTAGTCTATAGTCTAGTCTATAGTCTAGTCTATAGTCTAGTCTATAGTCTAGTCTATAGTCTAGTCTATAGTATAGTCTAGTCTATAGTCTAGTCTATAGTCTAGTCTATAGTCTAGTCTATAGTCTAGTCTATAGTCTAGTCTATAGTCTAGTCTATAGTCTAGTCTATAGTCTAGTCTATAGTCTAGTCTATAGTCTAGTCTATAGTCTAGTCTATAGTCTAGTCTATAGTCTAGTCTATAGTCTAGTCTATAGTCTAGTCTATAGTCTAGTCTATAGTCTAGTCTATAGTCTAGTCTATAGTCTAGTCTATAGTCTAGTCTATAGTCTAGTCTATAGTCTAGTCTATATTCTAGTCTATAGTCTAGTCTGTAGTCTAGTCTATAGTCTAGTCTATAGTCTATTCTATAGTCTATTCTATAGTATATTCTATAGTCTAGTCTGTAATCTAGTCTACAGTCTAGTTTAGTTTATAGTTTAGTCTAAAGTTTCACTTTTTTGGTATTTTTTAAATCTCATTTGTAGCGAAAACGACGCAGTTAGATTTTTGGAAGCATGTAAATAAAAATCGACCAAAGAAATATACATGCAACAAAGTTTGATTATCTTAATGAAAACAAAAGAAGTCAAATGATGTAATGGAAAAAAATAATTAAAAGGAAAAGATAACACATAGAAATATCAGCATTATCATTGGCAAAATCAGGACAAAAATAATGGAAAAATTTGTTCAATCATATTCTGTCTTAAGCTATTATTGTTTGTGACCACAAAATTTTTCATTCAATGATGTTGTTATAGCTTATATACCATACAATTTTTTTGTCTTCATCCCATGTTTAGATTTATCTGTTTTTAACCAAACAAGTCAATAGAGTCAGTTAGTCAGTCAGCCATTCAAGACAAAGAAATAACAAAGAAATATGTACAAAAACGTAGAGAGAGAGAGAAAGAAAATTGCCACAAGCAGCAACAGGAATTAGTTTCCGGTCTAAACGATGTGTAAAAATAAATAACCAATAATAGCAAAAACAACAATAATAACAACTACATACTTTGCTGTCTCCTAAGTAAATGTTGACAAGTAAAATTGTATGAAATTTAACGTTACAACACCAACAGCAACAAATAACAACAACAACAAAAAGAAACAGCCAGAACAACTAAGTACACAAACTACAGTAATAAAATACGAAACACGATAGAAAACGATTAAATGCATAAGATCATATGGAATGGACAATAACAATAACAGCAACATCAATTTAAAATACAACAACAACAACATCATCATCGTCATAATTATCATTGACATCATGCAACAGTGAGACCAATTGTAAAAGAATTTTTTAGAAATATTTAGGAATTTTCAAAAGCTCTGATCAGATTTTGACTTTGATCACACCTAGTTTTTATGCCAAAATCAAAACCAATAAAACCCTTATAACCCAACCCAACGTTAATCGATCCAGAGATATGATTAAGAACTTAGATAATACAGGCCAACAAATTTTTGGCCCAGAGATTTAAGTATACTTTTCTAAAGGATTGAGTCCGAATTACAGATATCGTTCCATGAAGTTAAAAAAAACCCGTTTATGGCCATATTTAAGACGCTATAACAGCGCAAAAACTATTTTATTTATGAAGTTTATGATGTCATCGAGTTATTCGTGAGCTAGAACTCAAAACCATATATGATTTCTAAAACATAGACCAATAAATGTTGATCATTTGGTTCCAATCTCAAGTTCTCAAAGGCTGAAAACTTTATGTGAAAGTTGAGCGTACCTAGCAAGGACACGTCTCTTTAAGTTCAAAAAAGGGATTCTCGCGCCTGACATAGAACCCGAAACTATTAACAAAGTCTTGAAAAAGTAGAATGACAGGACAAGCTACTGAATGATTTCCAAGTCATAGACTAATAGATGTTGATCATTTGGTGACTAAGAAAGTTCCAATCTCAAGTTCCCAAAGTTTGTTATCTGTATGTACTTAGAAGTTGCAGCATAAGAGCATACGTTGCAAAGGGAACGTCCCAATAAACGTAAAGTACAAATATAAAGTTGTGAATCAGTCTCATATTGTCAGTGAAGGCAACAAGTGATATCAAACACCGGAAATCACCAAAACATTGTTTTCTTCTGGTTTTAAGTTTCTTCTGTCCACCCCGTAGCATGTAATCTTAGTGAACCGCGCTCAACTTTGTGTTATTCCAATTCGGACTAAAGACTGAAGCTGTAATTGGACTCCTCGGAGTCATTATTTGGAGTATTTTGGCTAGTGGACTGACCAGATAATCATATGATCTGATACTACGTGAGTCGGTGGTCCGCACGTTTCGTCCTCTACCATCTGTGGGCTGAGGTCAATTTGGTATTTACGTAGCTGCATTGGTTGAAATCGCAGGAAGGGGTTTAAATTAATATTTTGGTATAAGTTCGGTGCTATTGCTGAGACAACAGTATCCCTCAGAGGCATACCTGTGGATCTACATATATGTTGGGAATGACTTAATGACGAAAAAACTCAGATATTGCTGAGACAGCAGGATAGCTCTGAGAAGTAACTGTGGCACTAAAGGTTGTGAATGAGTTCGTGACATGAGTTTTCTCTTAAATGTGTAGGATGAAAGAGTTATGTGATGGATTGAATGGTGATGGATGTATGGAATCCTATTTTAGATCAAAATTTCCTTCTTTGTCATGGTTTATTCATGTGAGAAAGAACAAAGTTTCGACGAAGTATTTCGATCCACCAAATACTATATAATAGGTGCTGTTGCAGAATCAACAGAAGTCGTTCCACCAGTTTGGTTGTAGATTGTTGTCGAAGAATGCTTCAGATCTTACGAATACCGACAGAAATTGAGATAGTCAGAGATGAAGTACATGAGCATAGAAGTCACAAAGGGTCGGTGGTGAGTCGTCTATAATTCATTCTGTATTTGAAAAGTATTATTGTGTGATAGGACTACACATGAGGTACTCACGTAAAGTACTGGGACATTTGTTTCTCTACCCAAATTTCCCATTGCGAGAGAGAGTCCCATTTAAAAGTCAGAAATGTTGTTGAGTTATTCTTATTATCGAGGAATCTAATTTCGGTTATTATTGATTTTCTGTGGGCATTAGATTTCGGTAACCATACAAGATACTGAAAATGATGTTCAATATGATTTTAACTGATCTTCAAAGTACAGGGGAGATGCAACTACTCGTTATCTATCAAGATCAATTTATGTTTCTGAAATTTATATAACTATTCGCTCCACTGTTCCCTTGCAGATAACAAAAAAATATCTAGTTAAAGGTAACATATAATACGACAAAAAAAAAGAACAAGATATTTTAGACAAACCAATAAACAAAACCTTTTGAACGGATATAAAAAGTAACAAACAAAAAAGCAAAGAAAAAAACGCAACAAATCAAATAAATACACGAACGGAAGGACAACAAACTGAACAACAAATCAACTCAAAACGACGACACTCTTGCGTATAAAGCAAACACCAATGTCTGTCTGTCTGCGTTTTCCCTTTACATCCCATCATTGACCATGTAAAATTACAGAAATCAATTAGTTAGTTGAAAAAGCAAACTTATCAAGACGACGAAATAAATTATTACACTAGATTAAACATTAAGATTTCGTTCGTTCGTATGTTATATGTATTAAAATCAATAAAGTTATGTATGTAGCCAATCAATATGTGACTCCAAGGTATTCGATATTTAACAATATATTTAAATTTATTTTGTGTTCTCTTATGGGCATTAAATTATGAATTTAATATTAAAATATTTTTATGTGTAGCATGAGTTTGAGTACGAGTACGAATTAATGCAAAATAATTTATTGTTTTCTGGTTTTAGGCAAAATGTATGCTGTCATTGGTAAACGTCATGGCAAGATTTTATCTGGTGATTTGACTCAGGGCTCTGGCAACTTTTCCGTCATGGCCATATTGCCAGTAATTGAGTCGTTCAACTTTGCCCAAGAGATACGAAAACAAACATCTGGTCTGGCGTGTCCTCAACTAATGTTCAGTCATTGGGAG